AGCCAGTATAGATTGGCCATTGTTTGAGAAACATCTGTGAGTCTATGTCGAGGGGCTATCGAATACGTGAGCGATTCATACAAAGGAATTGGTATTACTTTTAACCGAAGGAATGCTGGTTTGGGGCTAGATGAAAAATTGTAAGATCGAGAGGGAATCAATCTCGCATTCACCCAAAGCCTTTTCCAGATCCAGCACCTCTCCGCAGTATACACATGCTGACGAGATTCCCCAAATGGTAACAGAATGCTACTTACTGATATACAGACCATCCAAGTTCTCACCTGTCTTCAGTAGCTGGGGAACTATATTGCCGATAGTTTGATCCGGATCAAGGCCAGAAATGTCTCGAGATGCGACGCTTTCAGTCTGGTCAATACGGTTTACTTTCGCACGAATGTACATGACTGCGAGACAGCTGGAAATAGGAGTTAAGAAAGAGTTACGTCAGTCCGGGGACTGAGGTTCAGCTACCAGATGGCTTATAGCACACTAGACTGACGACAGATTGGGGTTCAAAGGAGCCTCAATAGACTGAGCTCACCTGATCACCCCTAAGTGGGGCAAAACCGGTGTTGGGCTACCGATGAAATTGTTGTCGCCAATGGTACGACAGTAGTTCTGGTAATAAAATGTTCATTGATGTCACCGGTTCTCTTGTTTACTGTGAGTTCCGCACGTTTTGGAAGGGAAAACCGACTGTATTAAATTATTAGTCATCGGACGTGGTCACACCGGGTCACCCCACCCTAAAGCTGTCACCTTGTCGTGATGATCTGCCTTCGACGCCGCAATGATCCTGCGAGTTATACTGGCTGGAACTCAGGTCCTAAAGGTTAGACTATGACGGAAAGGCTAACGGGGAGCAACCCAACGAAGAACAGCATGTTCCCATACCGCGGAAAATTGTATTACGAGGTCGTATTGTTCTGCTCGATGATAAGTCGCTTCCCCCAAGAGACCAGCATTCTCATATTTATGGAAGCAGCAATGCTACCTTTCTCCGAGGAAGGACGGGTTGGAAAATGTCGGCCCTAAACACCGCACATCCAATCGCCCAACAGTTGACCGTCAGTGCCAGCGCGCTATTCAATATGGTCCAAATACTTCTGAGACCAAAGAGTTCGGTGCAGCTCAAAAGGTCCCTTACTGTGAACAGCTGTAATGCCTTATTCCCTGCGTCCTCAGGCCAAACCAGCCCCCTGCAGCCAAGTGGATCTGACTGCCGAGTCCGAAGAAGCGCTCCCAAAAAAACAACTGGCGCCTCGCGGCTCATACTTGAGGTGGAGGCTAGGGATAGAGTCCCCGAAAAAACCGACATACTCACACTGCCTTGTGCGTCCAACTTTTGATTCAAAGGTTTAAGGGTGAGTAACTCAAACAAATCCCACTCTTCGGTCTGGGCAACCGGGAATTATCATTCGCTCTTGTAGTTCTTCGCTCACCAGCCCTCCCACAGTCCATCCCAACTCATTAAATGATGCAGTACGATCAACCTACCTGAAAGTCTCCTAACAAACGTTCCTTGTCTAAACAATCACCCACAAAAACAAACAAAAATAATCACTTACTAAACTCCCCAGATCTGATCGACGTTACATCCTTCAATAACCCTACTTTATCAAACTTGGCGACCGGCATCTCTTGCTGAAGCCTTGCATTCCCTCTGTCGATGTAAGTTGTATCTCCGAAACACACAAGACCTCACCTCGGTCGTGCATCTCAAGTCTCCGGATGAGCTCAGATGGTCTCCAAAACACCGGATAATCAAAAGTTCAAAAAATGACAGAGAACGCTGGTGGATTGCGAAGATCTAGGAGGTGGAGGCAACAGTCGTGCTACATCTCAGTTGATTCGAACAACCAATAAGTCAGCGAAACGATATGCAAGAAAAGACGGACGGAGATGTACTCAGAAAATCATCATCTTGAAGATTTGCAAGATTTGAAATGAAAACAGAATACCAGTCAAATGGAGCTCCTCGACGGTCTTCCGTCTTCATAAAGGGCTCAATAAGGTAAGGTAAAAACAATCACGGCATCAGCCTGGCATCCGTGAATCCAACGTGGACTCTGGCATTATTCTGTGCAGTTGGACTGATTTTTTAAGAGAAGGATTCGTGGGGATCAAGCTGGGTTTTTCCCTTGCCGAGGATTAACCAACTATATCATCTTGAGACAAGTCCTTAAACCGCACCACTTTTTTCCACGCTTGTGATCTTTCTTGATCTGAAAGCTGCTTTGAACCCCTTCGATGTTCAGAAACTTTGGCGGTATCTGGCAATCAAGGGCGTTCCTTCAAAATTTATGTCCATTTGAAGCGAATGGATATTACCGTGATGTGACGGTTTGTGTACCTCCGCGACCCATTGCGCTATACTGGATGTGTCCATGCAAAACTCGCAGGGTTTCTAATACCGGGTTGGTCAGCGGTTAGATGTCTAACAAACACAGCATCCTGGTCCTTAAGGTTGAGAGTGAAAACATGTATGGAGTCTAATTCTGTAACCATTGAAAAACAGTTGCGCTTCCCTCCAAAAGCTGCTGAATTGTGGTCAGGCATTTGAGTCAGAGACTTTTGTTGAGGACCCTAATCATCTCCTTCTGAAGCATGCAGGGCCTGTCTAGTTGTGGGCACCCTGGCAGTATCTCAGCTGACGTACAACCATGAACTGCACATACACAAATAAATTCATTACACATCGGCAGTCGCGGACGGGTCGCCTTACCTGCTGCATACAGCAGGGCGGGTAAGCGAAAACATACTACTGCTGACGCCTCCCTTCTTACACTTTCACGTTTTCCGTCTTCCACCCTCCCCCGCCCAAATTTGNATCTGCAGGGCCCAGCTCTAGAACTGACCGTTTTGCTCGCCCTGCATCACACTCAGCTGCAGCCTCTGCACGTCCCAGTTCAGTTACAACCCTAAACACTTCGAAGTCTGTTTTAAAACCCCGAAAGCCTGTCTATTTAGCCACCTTCAATGTTCGCACACTGAAGCAAGCAGATCAACAGGTGGCTCTTTCGCGTACGCTGGATTCCCCCTGTATTGATATGTGTTGTCTGTCTGGAAATAGGATGCATAATGCAAGTACTGTGATTGAACTGACTGCCCCCTCGCTCTGCTCTAGGTTCCGGGTTCGCAACTCTGGTGATGCAGAGGCCGCTGCAGCTGGATATGCTGGGATGGGTATTGTATTGAGCGAACAAGCGGAAAGGTCTCTGCTTGACCGGGATACCCGTTACAGTTGCCTCTGTGCGGTTCGTTTGGCAACACCGGTGAGAGAATCTAGAGAAAGTGAGGTCATCGCACCCTGTTTATTGGTTCTGCTTACGCCCCAACTGACTTTAGTTCTGAATCTGCCAAGGACAGTTTCTATGACGCTTTAGGTGCCCTTCTACAGCAGGCTAAAATCTCAGATATCGTTGTGGTTGCAGATGACATAAACGCTCAGGTAGGTAGACTAAACGCTGCTGAGGCCTGTTTGGGTGGTCGTCTTGGTTTGGACACTAGACGCACGGACAACGGAGACTGGTTACTTCAGATGTGTGCCGATCACAGGCTGTTCCTTTGCAGTACGAATTTCCGGAACAGCGGAAATCGCTTGACAACGTGGTGCCCACCATCAAACCAGCGCCGAATCCAAATAGACCACATCGCCGTCAGTTATCGGTGGCGAGGGTCGATCACCGCCTGCCGCTCCTTCTGGAACACCAGCGTGGACTCCGACCATGCACTTGTACGCTGCTGCTTTTCATTGCGCTTTTCAGGTGTACGCAAATCGCGCACACCTCGCTTAGCCATTGAGAAGCTAGTTGATCCAGAAACCAAACGAAACTATCAGAAACAGCTCCTCGAATGCCTGCCGGACGGTACGGTGTCGGATATAAACGGCCACTGGGAAAAAATATCCAACGCGTTACTCAAAGCAGGAGCGTCTGCTTGCGGTACAACCCAGCCAACCTCATCCAAGCATTGGATCTCTGATAGAACCGTGTCTTTTCTGGAGGCCCGGCGACAGATCCCACCTGGTCGCCACCACAACTCCATCCGGCGCATCATCCGACGCCAGGTGAAACTGAGTGTCCGCGCAGACCGAGAAGCTTGGTGGACCCGAAAGGTCGAAGAAATGGAAGATGCAAAGAATGCTGGAAACGTGCGCAAATTGTTCCAGTTGATTCGTTCGACTGGTCCTCGGAAACCTCTTGTCAGTGAAACAATCAGGGACCAAAATGGCTCCCTGATATGCAGCAAAGCAGAACGTTTGGATCGCTGGGCACAGTACTTCGAACAACAATTCAGCTGGCCACCTGCTAACCCCAATCCAGAAACCCGGCCTTCAACAGAAAGGTGGACCGTAAATATGGAGCCGCCTTCAGTCTCAGAAGTGTCCGAATGCATTTCTCTACTCAAGCGCCATCGCGCTGCTGGTCCTGACGACCTTCCACCTGCTCTCTTCAAGGATGGCGGTGGATTCCTCAGTCAGTGCCTGTCTAGCCTATTTGGGTTTATCTGGGAGAAGGAGACCGTCCCAGACAACTGGGGTGAATCGATAGTGGTACCCCTTTTCAAAAAGGGTACTCGCAGTGAATGTAGCAACCACAGAGGCGTTAGCTTGACGCCTGTTGTGACAAGGCTTCTGGCGTCATTGATTCTTCGTCGTCTCATGGCGGCACGCGAAGTCTTGACTCGTGAGAATCAAGCGGGATTTCGACCGGGTAGAGGCTGCGTTGACCACATCTTCACACTCCGTCAGGTGTTAGAGCAACATCACATGTACAGATGACCCACAATCCTGGTATTCTTTGACTTCAAGGGTGCGTTTGATTCTGTTGATCGATCAGTAATGTTAACTACACTTGCTCAACAGGGTATGCCCCAGAAGTTTGTAAACATAATCCGATCCCTATATTCACATACTTCTGGGCGGGTGAGGGTCTATGGTGAGGTTTTCGAAAGCTTCCCTACAAAAAGTGGTGTCAGACAAGGATGTCCACTTTCCCCACTCTTGTTCAACTTCGTCATCGATGAAATAATGAAGCGAACACTGGATGGTTTTCAAAAACCCCGGTGTCCAAATTGTTGCTGGCGAGAGCCTTGTCGATCTGGAGTACGCAGATGACATCGCCCTCATCTTTGAAGACCATAACGAAGGACAAAGCAAGAATCTCAAAGGATCGAATCACGTTTGCTAATTTGCGTCACTTGTGGCGCCAAAGTGCATCTCACTGGATCTTAGGGGTCATGTGTACCAGGCTACATTAAGGGCAGTGTTGTTGTATGGGTGCGAGACATGGCCTCTTCGGGTAGATGATGTGAGGGGTCTTCAGGTTTTCGACCACCGATGCCTCAGAAGAGTGGCTGGTTGTGGATGGCGTCAGTGTGTCAGTAACGAGACGATTAGAAACGGGAAGTTGGTT